TAACATCTGTTTAGGTATTATGAGACTTAGACGACTAACAGTAGAAAAAGACCATGTGGTCCGTCAAGAATGCCAGTATAGATTTAGTATGTATTTGCCCCAATAATGCTTAAATTCACTTACTGTTGATGGACAACAACTACTCTTAAGGTAACAGTACTTTACAAGGTTCATTTTGAACTTTCCTCATGCTATTTTGAGGTCATGTCCCCATGTTGTTGATCTTCTTTATAATGAAAATATTGCCCTCCTGAACATTTTCACACCCTCCTATCGTACCCAGTATTTAAAGGTTTCATCCATGTCCCTTTTTTTTTTTCATTTCTTTCTTCAGGACTGTACATATTATGTTCTGGAAGTCTCTCCTGGTATGTTTTATCCCTCAGACATTTCACCATTATGTTGTCCAACTCTAGGCTAGTTCTGTCTTTTCAATATCTTTTTATAAGTGAGTTCTCCAAAATTGGACACTTATGGCTTTATTTACTAAAACTGGAGAGTGCAAAATCTTGGTGCAACTCTGCATAGAAACCAATTAGCTGCCAGGTTTTATTGCTAAAGCTTAAAGTGATACTAAAGGTTCTCTTTTTTTTCAAATAACAAACTATACTTTGTTGCTGTGTGCAGTGGTTTTACACAGAGCAGCCTGGATCCTCCTTTTCTAGGGTCCCTCGCAGGCTCTCCTGCCTCCTCTGCCTATGGGGGCATCTGCTGCTCAGTGTGTCCATTCAAACACGAAGCTGTGGCTTGGCCCCGCCCCCTGTCTCCTCATTGGCTAACTGGCTGTGATGGCTCCCGCTTGCTGTCTCAGCCTATGAGGAGGCACAGACCCTGCATAGCCAAGGCTTTCATGCATATCTCTGGATCCTGATGGGGCTCAGGTAAGTTTTGACGGGGCCGGGGAGCTGCTGCACACAGAAGGTTTTTTTTACCTTCATGCATTCTATAAAAACCTTGAGCTTTTACAACCACTTTAACTGAACAAGCTGAAGTTAGAGGCTGATTGGCTACAATGCACAGGTGCACCAGATTCTGAGTGCTCCAGTTTTAGTAAATCTAACCCAATATTTTCAAGGTCAAACTAAATATCAATATATGGGAAATAGGACCATCTTCCTCTTGCTGTTTATCCCTCTAGTGATGCACCTCAGAATTCTCTATGCTTCCCCCACTGACTGGACACACAACGGTTTGGTCAAAAGACAGCCACCTGCGGTTACCACCATTGTGCCAACATTTTCGTTGTATGATTTTAGAAATGTAAAATTTAGAGGTGTTGGGTCTATGGAAAAACTACATACTTACAGACCTGAGGCAACCTTCTCCTGCCATTCTTATGTCTGTGACATATCGAAACCTCCATCATTGTCTGTCAGGGTGAGGAATAGCATTGAAACACATTAGAAAACTTTTTCCGATCTCCACTGTTTCCTAGTGATAAGCTGGTGCTAGGTGCCTGTGGTGCCTCTACAATGCATAAGATAAACATTAGGGATGCACAATACCCTTTTTTTTTTTTTTTTTTTTATTTTATTGGCAAGTATGAGTACCGATACTGAGTACCGATACTTTGCGGTGTGATTTGTGTCTATACAAAATGAATAAGCCTAAAATGGCACTTCAAAGAACAACGTGCGATTTGAAAAAGAATGTGGTGCCATTCCTATCCGACTCACATGTGGTTTCCCCAGCGCTCCTGTGTGAACCCAGGCTTTTAGTAGCCTGAGTTCACACAGGAGTGGTTCGGGAAACCTTCCAGCACCGTTCCCATGCTGTCACACAACTAAAAGCCACTTCACAGGTCTTGGGATTTGAAATCCCCACTGTTTTCTCTCCTCTCCTTGCAGCGGGCTAGATGGCTTCTGATTGGTCAGCACCATTGGTCAACATAGTTTGTATATTTTTAAATTTATTTAATGTTAAGGAAAATAAAATTGATTCACTGTTGATGCTTTACTAAACCTGGAGAGTGCAAAATCGGGTGCAATCGGCTTCCAGTTTTAGGGGTATTTTTTGTCAAAGCTTATGTGAACAAGGTGAAGTTAGAAACTGATCGGCTACCATGCACGGCTGCACCAGATTGTGCACTCTCCAGGTTTTGTAAATCAACCCCTATGTGTAATTTGTTAAAGCGGAGTTCCACTTACCCTGTCAAAGAATAAGTCGTCAGCTACAAAAACTGTAGCTGCTATTAAAAAACAGCCACTTACCTGTCCCTCAGTCCCGCGGTGTGTCCCCTGCAGCCCGTTTCACCAGCCATCCTGTATTCCTGGAGGCCGGAATCTTCAGTGTGGGCACCCAGCTGTGACTACTTGCGGCTTCACAGCCGGGTACCCACTGCGCATGTGCAAGTAGTGCTGCGCTTCCTGAATGGTCCTGTAGTCTTCTGGGACCTGTCACGTGTCCCAAAAGACTACAGGGAGGGAGGACACCTTCCGTTTCCGATCGCCTAGGCCAAGGGTAGGCAACCTGCGGCTCTCTAGCTGTTGTGGAACTACATTTCCCATGAGGCATTGCAACATTACAAAACTGACAGTTACAGCTATGACTTGCAGAGGCATGATGGAACTTGTAGTCCTGCAACAGCTGGAGAGACCCGCAGGTTGCCTACCCCTGGCCTAGGCAATCGGACCGGAAGTGGGAGCGGATACCTGTCAAATTCGGGTACCCGCTCCCCTCTGCCCTCCAAAGGTGCCAATCCTTAATGGGGAGCGGGGGAGCAGTCCTTAAAGCGGAACTTCCCCTTTTGGGTGGAGCTCCGATTTTAATATCAAGTATGTGTACTTCATCTTACTAGCAGTCAAATAGAAGTCACAGAAGCTCATTATACAGGTACATACAAACCATAGAGGCTGAATATCTGGAAATTTTCAGATGTTTCTGGATCCCTCTCTATGGCTAGTTAACCTTTCATGGCTCAGCCGACTCACAGGAAAAGATCTTCCTGAACGATTACCATTGCTTCCCTTGAGAAAGCCAGTTGACCGCCAACTAAAATGCCAGTATCTTGTGTTACGCATACTGTATATGTGAACTTTTGCATATAACACATATATGGTATTAGCAGCTAGTTATTTAAAAAGTAATACAAAAATAACTATTACTGTAGTTTTGATCGTGTTAATACATAACAAAACAACTCAGAGCACGCATTTATGTAATAATACATTACTTTTGTAAAACCTTGTCCTGCAAAAAGAAATTTTGCAAAGATTGCATTTAACATCGTACTAGTGTTTATATGTAATCGCTTCAAAGAAAACACAACGAGGCATGCAGAATGAAGAATGAGGCAATTTAGATAATCATTGTGTTTGTGCACTGGTTCTAATAGACATAAGTAGATATAAGGGGCAATTCTTCAATAAAGTCGAGAGCAAATTTTTTCAAGAGCCTTTTATGTGTACCACGTAACTACTTTTTCTATAATGGAAGACCAACAGAGCCATTGCAAGTCATATGACCTCCTACTCTTAACTCGGTGCACTATACACTTCAGCCTAATCAACAATATTACATATGTGGTCTTTTTAAAGCACATCTGCAATTACTACTGATGCATATACCCTCTATTTAAAAGCGGCTTGTGAGCCTCTTGGGGACCATCAATTTTGGGAATGTTCATTATGCAAAATTACCATGTGGTTCTAACAATATAGGGAATCTGCATCCCATATCTGTCCATTATTACCTTATTAGCCATCAAAGCCTCTCCTGTGCACAATGTATAATAGGTAGATATGTTTATAACTGTTGCCCCTTTGAGAGTCACCAGCCAACATTTTGCAAGGTTGAGAGCTTTCAATCCTGGATATCACTGATAGCTGGGGTCTCCACAGGGGCGGACTGACCATTTGGAAACTATATTGATCATTACAGTGCCATCATCCACATACAGAAAGAGAAAGGATAATGTAAATTAGACAATGTGTATTTAGTAGGGCCCGGGGTCAGTAGGGGGCCCCATGAGATACCCCTGGTACCTTTTTCATAGGCTTTTTTGAGTTTGGGCAGGGACACAGGGGCCTATGATCCCCAATTGCCCGGGGGCCCCATGAGTTGTCAGTCCGCCCCTGGGTCTCCAGCAACGATTTGAAACCATTTTAGAGTGGTTCCAGGTAATGTGATTACTATGTTAGCTAGGACATAGTGATCACATGCAGTCTGGAGGCTTCAATAAAATAATACATTTAAATTTTTTTTTATATTTTTAGATATTTGTCAGCCTATAATAAAAAAGTGTATAAAATTAAAACCTAATACGTCCGTTTAAAGAAAATAAATATTATTTAGGTTTGAAAATTAGTGCCTAAATACATACTGTCTAATTTACATTATCCTTTCTCTTTCTGTATGTGGATGATGGCACTGTAATTATCAATTTAGAAGGCGATTTTTAGCCCTCTACTGCTGGTCACATGTTAAAAAAAAAAAAGAAAAAAAACTGCCTTTGGAATACAGAGAAATAAATATCAATAAACTGTTGTAAATTGTAATCCACATATATATTTTCAAATCTATATTATTTTTTTGTCTATAACATGGTGTGGGTGTATTTCTGCCAGTCACATGTCTTTCCATCTTGTGTCTTGGAAAACAAAGGAGGTGAAGCCTCCATCAATCAGGATGTAATATCCCACCCCAATTATGTTTAGCTGGATAGTGGGCATGGAGGAGGAGGGAGGAAGTGGGCTGTCATTTACCACCGTGTATACACTGACATGTATGACTTTATAGTTACATGATCTTCTCAGATATGATAGGGAGGAAATGCTCAGATCACTGAAAACTGAGCATGTGCAGTAGCTGCCAACACTGCTCTGCAAAATCTCCAACTGCATTGAGGACATGGACAGAAGGGGGAGACAGAGAACAACAGGCTCAACCAGTTTTGTTTTTTGCATAATACAGAAATCGAATTCCACAGTGACTGAGTGAATATGAACAGCATGTAATACAGCATTTATATGATGTGGGCTTAATGACACTTTAGGTCAAGCCTTGAAATTTCCACTCACCTGCTCGCCAATGGCTAGTGGAAATTATGGTGGGGGCGAGTGTGTCCCCCAGGGCTGTCTTGCTGAGCAGGCTCGGAGCTCAGGCTGGATCTGTCACTCACACTGGGAGCCGTCAGACTGCTCAATAGCTGAGCGCAGTGAAAGCAAAGGAAGTAGTGTGTGCTGTGCTCTCTGCCTCCTCCTAGAGTGCAGTACCCGGCTCTGTGAGTGAACAACGAAGTGCTGCAACTTTTTATATGGCTGTGTGTGTGCCCACCTAAATTCAGTTCACTCTGGTGATATGATCCTCTGTCAGCCAGTAGTGGCTTCAGGGGAGAGGAGAGACCACTTAACAGTGTGCATGTGTATACATGTGTGTGTATCTTTGTATACATGTGTCTGTACATGTGTGCATCTGTACATGTGTTTGCGTGTATGTACGTTTGTGTGTACATGTGTCTGTGTGTATGTACGTACATGTCTGTGTGTATGTACATGTGTCTGTGCTTGTGTATTTCTTTGTATGTACATGTATCTGTGTGTATGCGTGTCTGTACGTGCCTGTGTGTGTATACATGTCTGTGCGTGTGTGTACATGTTTCTGTGTGTGTGTGTGTGTGTGTGTGTGTGTGTGTGTGTACAGGTGTCTCTGTGTGTGTTTGTTGGTGGCGAGTAACTCTTAAGGTCTGGCTAGTAGCTCAGGACTTGAAATTTTAAGCCCTGCTTTAGGTTATTGTCAAGCTAACTGACCAATGCTCACACTGCTAAATTTGGCCTGAGCATCTAGGCATCAATGACCTTTGGCCACAAAAGGGTTAAAATGATACTTGGTGATCCTGTCATGAAGGTCCTTGTTTAGGCACTTTCTGTAGTGACAATTGTCTTCCAGCTCTTCTTTGGCACCCTACCATCTGCATTTCAATGGAGACTATGAACTGCATTTCAAACACACATTGCACAAAGATGGTCCACCATTGTCACAGTCAGTAAACTTTTCTAGGGCAATGATATACAGTGTGTAATGGTGTGAATGCATAGAGGCAGGAAGAGGCTGGAGGAGAAAAGAAGCACTGAGGTGCAAAACAGTATAAGATTTTCACTGTGCAACCCTGCCTGACATTTCACAGCCTTTACTTAGAGTCCCGGCCCTGTACAACTGCTACCGTGCATGTGCACTGCTCACCTTATTCCTATGGCTGGGGCCATACTGATGGCAGTCGTAGCCAACCAACGGACTATAGCCATAGGAATGGAGTACGCAGTTAGGCAGGCAAAATATTCCAATAATAGCACTGAATGCTTTCTATTATGAGCTTTGTCTGTGGCAATTGAATCTTCTCTGCTGTTCTAGAGTAGTAGGTCTGTCATTTTTTTATTTTCTCGTTTTTAAGATTTTGTAGTTTGTTGGAAGATCTTTTAAAAAGTTGACCTGATCCTAACATATCTTATTTCTTTATCTGCAATATGTTTTCTACTTTATTAATTTTATTGCATGGTGTTTGGTTCTTCATTATGATTTTTTTTTTTTTTTTTTTTTTTTGCTTTCTTGCATTGATTATTTAACTGCATTTTATTGTTCTATTACTAGGATCCATTACTACATTATCTTATTTCATTGTTTCTTTCTGCTTGTTCATGTGCTTGGTTTAGATCATATGATTGGTCCACTCCTTACTTTTCATAGGTGAATCTGGACCAGGGGCGGACTGACCATTTGGAAACTCCGGCACTGCCCGAGGGCCCAGGGTCAGTAGGGGGCCCCATGAGATGCCCCTGGTACCTTTTTTTTTTTTCATAGGCTTTTTTGAGTTTGGGCAAAGACACAGGGGCCCCATGATCCCCTATTGACCGGGGGCCCCATGAGTTGTCAGTCCGCCCCTGATCTGGACGTTAGGGACTAAGTCCTGATGTGTCTAATAGATGTGTTTTTAATTCTTGTATACGGTATACTAAGTAGATCTTATGAAGAGATCGTTATATTCTGCTGTTCTTTGTCTTCTGGACGCCATCATTCACTCCTCTATGGATTGAAAAATAAAGTACCATTCTTGTGCTGCGGTCAGCAAGTTGAAGCGTGTCTTGGTGTTCTGATGACTCCTTCAAATATAATCCGATATTTGCATGTCATTCTTAGGGACCACTTTGCTATTTAGTTACAGTACATGATGGTCAAATCTCTTGGGAAAAGAATGCTGTTGGCATCAAAGCTACAAAAAGATCAAGCTTTGATTTAATATTTTTTCATGCAACTGTCATTGAATCTTTAATTTCCAAAAAAACGAAGAAAGTCTGCAGATTAGAATTCTAGATAAATCCTTTCAAAGACTAATTAATTCAGAGTTCAATTTATTTTCTTAAGGGCTATACATTAGTAATCAGTAAAATGAGCAGGGAAGCCCTGCTTTTTTTTTTTTTTTTAACAAGTGGCCAGTGCTATGTTGTTTTATTAATGCCCCATGCAAGACTTTCTTTCTCCTAGAGCCTGAGATTTGATATTATTTGCCTATGATCTAAGGTGCTTTTCACAGAGGCTGCACTCACACAGCGCTATGTTATTATAGCACTTGGTTTGCCATCAATTCTCGTCACCTTTTGACAACCGCGAAGCCTAATTTCTATTCCCAGTCAGGAAAAGAGGAGACGTGAGCCATGAGTTAAGATCTTTTTACAAAGTTCTAATGGCATGCTCTCAAAATTTGATGGATGTCTGCATCCCATGCCACTGTGAATTATGCACCAGTGAAATGTCTAGCTTTAAGCAGCCTTACTTCTAGGCAGAAATAGTTATTGCATGTTTTAATATATTTTCTACTTTTACCTGTGTGGCTTTGTTGCAAGATTTGTGTATCATTATATATAAAAGTAAAGTATATTACTTGCTTTTCTTTAATTTGTATATGGTTTTTAACTAATAAACATTTAACACGGAGTACATCAGTGAACGTTATCTAAAATGTCCAGCACTGCCTACATGTTGGGAAACTGTGTATAAATGACTAATTCATCTCTGTTTGTGTCTCTGATCTGTTTGTGCTAAGAGAGGAAGTCCTTTGAATTATTGCGTAGTGTAGTCTGATCTCTCCTGCTATTTAACTTTATAGCTGCTGAACAAGCTATAGAAAGCTGATGATCTTGGCCAGACTATTTGTGGTAAATGTAAAAATAATTAAATTGCCCAACCCCTTCCTATAAAAAAATGAATCTAGTGCTAATTTCTTCTTGGGGACAGGCAAGCACAAGTCTCTTCTTATTCTCCTTACTCCATGGTCCTGCAAACTCTCTCTCCAATGGTACTGATTGTGATGATCAGTTAACCAAAACTGCTTTGCGGGCTGGTCAATGACCAGTTTTCAGAGGTCTCCCTAGGGTTGGTGTCACCCGATGCAGTAACACGTGCTGTCACCCCCCCCCCCCCCCCCAGAGAGGAAGTAGTGGTGCCGGTGTAGCAGTAAAATGAGTATCCCATAAAGATATGTATCCCCTGAAGCAACTGTGCATATGCCGGCTTCAGGCCGAAGAAGTGATCTCCGACTATTGCACAGAGCTGCCACAGTTAACCCCTTACAGGCTGCAAACCGCTGAAACTGATCCCTCGGATCACTATGGGTTGCAAGATCAGTTAACCCCGTATAGGTTGAACCTATAAGGGGTTAACAGATCTTACAACCCATAGTGATCCGAGGGATCAGCTTCAGCGGTTTTCAGCCTGTAAGGGGTTAACTGTGGCAGCTCTGTGCTAAAGTCAGAGATCGGCGATCGGCTTCTTCGACCTGAAACCGGCATATGCGCAGTTGCTTCAGGGGATACATATCTTCACGGGATACTCATTTTACCACTACACCGGGGGCAGCTGTCACTGTGCTGGGAATCCGGGATCACCCCAATAAATGGACAGGACCTTCACAGAGCCCCAAAGCTCTGCTGGCGCATCCTGCTCCTGTACCCCCTGTGATGGTGTCACCCGGTATGGCCCACACCCTCCTAGAAACACCATTACCAGTTTTGTTGCTAAACTTCTTGCTGATGCTATCAACACTGCGCTGTAATTAGTTCAAGAGGTTTGGATGTAGTTTCCACCTACGTCACAGTTCTAGAGAGCGGAGCACCAGCATATTCCCCAACTGTCCTTCATTTGGAGGAACTTTCCCTCCTTTGGAACCAAATTCTGCACTCTTTCATGCATTTTTCCCTCATTTAGGAGAGATGTGTAGACCTCAATAATAAATGTAACACATAACTACCAAAAGTATTTCACTACACTAAACCTTTCAACCAAACCTTTTTATTATCACATTATTGTTTTAAAAATCTGCTATAAAGGAAACATAATGATGAAAAAATGTACTTGTAGGATTCATAAACCTTGTAACTGGGATGGGGGGTGGGGTCCTTTGCCTACACACTTTTTGCTAAAAGGTGTCCCTCGTCCCCATTTCAGAAAGTTGAGAGGTATGGGACCAGACTGTTGGCCATTGCAGGGCTGTGGAGTAAGATTAGTATAACTGTGCTAACTTATCCCCTAGAAAAAAACAAATAATATATTCTTTGCAGGCAGGGGGGAGAATAGTTTTAACAGTTTTTATATGTCTGGAGTTGAGCTTTAACAGCTATGCTGTATGTAGACCAGATGACATGTAACTTAGTTGGAGGCCAAGCTGACGAGAGGGCTTCCCTTGCGGCTCTAGTCCAAGCACCCGTGAATGTGGTGACAGAGGTACAAGGCCCAAAGAAGCATGGGTGCCAGTAGCTTGGTAGCAGATGACTATCAGGGACAGAGACTTCGTCAGGGTGAGCCAGGGACATACACGTGGTCAGGTAAAAGGGCTGAGGCCAGTACCAGGGAAGAAGACAGAGCAAGGTCCAGTAGCAGGCTTTCACTCTACAGAAGGGGGTGGGTAGGAAGATGAGCTAACACCACACTCTAGTGATGTTCTGCTTTAATAACAGGCATGCATGGTGCTCTCCTGTCCACCATGCATGCCCATCAGTGGGGCATGTCATTATTACATCATCAGGATGCACAAAACAGGATCAAGCTTGCCATTTATTTTTGTGTAATGATACTTGGGAGAAGGATTCTTTCTCACTGCTATGTCTTACTATAATAACATATGGTTGCGGCAAAATCCCAAAAATTCACTCCCCCCCCTTTACTTACCCCCACTTTGGGATTGTATACCCCGGAACTAAGGGATGCATGAAAAATTATAGGAAAGTATGAAGCACTCTTTTCAGCAAGAAAAAGTGGCATTTCAGCAAAAAATCCATTCACTGAGGTGGGTTTGATCTCTGTATCTCAAAGTTATTTATTATTATTATACAGGATTTATATAGCACCAACAGTTTGCACAGCACTTTACAGAGGGCCCTGCTCTTTAGAGCTTACAATCTTGAAGGAAGGGTTGAGTGATACAAAAGGTAATAGCTGTGGGGAGATGAGCTGATGGAGGAAATAAATGGCAGTTTACTAGGTAGAAGCAGGATAGGCATCTTTAAAGAGAGAGGTTTTCAGGGATTGTCTAAAGGTGGATAGATTAGGAGATAGCTGGACCGATTGGGATAGGGAGTGCCATAGGATTGGAGAAGCTCGGGAGAAGCCCTGGAGGCTAGCATGGGAGGAGGTGACACGATAACTAGAGAGCAGAAGTTCTTGGGAGGACTGAAGAGA